GAGCCATGGGGGCCGCAGTGAGGACCGGGGGACCACGCAGCCGCCTACACGTGACTTCCCCAAGCAAACCAACTCCCGAGAAATCTCAGGAGGACTTGCTAGCCCATCATCTGCACACAGAGGGCCAGTCCTGCCCACGACCCCGTAACCCAGCTCACCTGCCACGTGCGCGGCCGCCTGCGAGGTCCCGCTCTGCGCCATGAAGCACGTGCTGCAGTCGCTGGAGGCACCGATGATGTCGTCCCCCGGGGCAAACAGGTCCACGCAGCGGCCGAAGGTGGGGCCCAGGGGAGGGTGCCAATGGAGGCGGGCTGGTCCTCGCTGTTGGTGGCGCCGACGGTGATGACCTGCCAGGGTGGTGATGGAGGTGACGGGGGTAGGACAGCGTGCACAGCCCCAGCCCACTCGGCTGACATGGCACCGGAGCAGATGAGCCTGGAGAGGTGGCAGCTTGTCCCAGCACGTCCCCACACCTCGGGGAACCCCTCTGTCCCATACCTCTGGCTCGGACGCTGGTGATTCCAGGCAGGCATCGTCCTTGTAGTTCCCAGCAGCCACGACCACCACCGCCCCCATCCGCGCCATCCGCCTACATCCGGCGTTCAGTGCGTGGCTGTAGGCACCGGCAAAGGGCAGGAGCACCACCAGCGGCGCATCGGGCCGAGGCTGCAGCGTCGCCTTGATGAACTCCAGGCCTGGGAGGGATGAAAGAAGGGACAGGACACCCTCACAAGAGGGTGACAAGGCGGGGAGGGGTCATCTCCAGGGTGCGGGGCGACTCACCAATGAGGGTCCCACTGATGGTGCCCTTCCCCTGGCAGTTCAGCACACGGAGGCTGCGGACCTTGGCGTCCCTGGCCACACCAGCGTCGCGCCCGCTCAGCACCCCAGCCACGTGGGTCCCGTGGCTGTCACATTTGCTGGCCTGGCACGGGCACCAGAGTTTTACACACCATCCCATTGCGCCAAAGCAAATTTGCAATCCCACAGCGTCCTCCACACCCCACCCTTTGTGCTTTGCACCAGCTAAACCCTGCTGCAGAATAAATCCTTAAAAATCATCCCGTGCCAAAGGAGAAAAGCTGGCAGAAAGGATTTGGGGTGCAGCCAGCCACCCTGGGGTGGTGGCCAGGGTTTGGCAGGTGCAGGTGATGCTCTCGCCAGGCTGCAGCGCGCAGCACCGCGGGGCTCACCTGTCTGTGGAAGCGGGTGCCATCCTCCTCAGGGACGTTTTCAAAGTCAGCCACAAGCACCCTGCCTTCGATCTCCCGATGGGTGCTCTGCACACTGGTGTCCAGCAGGTAAATCTCCACCAAGTCACCTTTATCTACCAGGGACATGGCCAGTGAGAAAGGCAAAGCATGGTCAGCCCAGGCACCCTGGGGTGCTCCCAAAAGGCAGCTCCAGATCCACAGCACCACGAGGAGGGGGAGATATCCCCGTTTCCCCCAGGATCAGGAGAGAGGATGGGGTCACTGACCCTTCCCACACCCCCGCGGTCCTCCCTCTGCACCCCAGCGCTTACTGGGAGGGCTGTAGGCGCCTGAGCTGGGCTGTGGCGGCACGATCCTGCCCAGGTTCCAGGGGATGCTTTGAGCAAAGACATAGGCGTCCTCCTCGATGTACTCCACGTGCGGCAGCTTCAGAGCCTGCAGGGAGGAGACGCAGCGCCTGGTGTGGTGGCAAAGCTCGCGTGTTCCACGGGACCGAGGCTGCTACCCTCTACCAGTGCCCCCCACTGCAACTGGGACCCCGTCGCCTGCTCCCCGTACCGTGTCCAGGACGTCGGAGCTCATCTTCACCAGGAAGGCGGGCAGGAGGTGAAAGACGTGCAGCAGCTCGGTC